TGGGATTTTTTTCCATTCATTTTGGCAGGTTGAATTTTCTGCTAGTGAAAGCCTGGGTATCAATTCCCATGTCTGAATAGAATATGAACAGCCACACAAGTTCCATTTTCATCAGAGGGCAAGCCTGGAGGAAGAAGGTAAAGTACATGACAAGGCTTTGGGGAAAGAGCCTGACCCAGTTGGCTAATGTTAAACAAGTACAGGCATAGGTTTCACATCAGAGAACTAACATACATCAGAGAAGTTAATATAACAAGACATGCATAGGCATGAGGCACTGTAAAGATGAGGCTATCACCATCATGCCTACTTCAAGGGACAAGAAAGGAGTATATAAAGATTCCTTAGAATGGCCAGATTTTGGTTTTTTTGGAAAAAAATTTGTGTTCCAGGTCAAATTAGCCAAATCAATTCTGAATCCTTTTGATTGAGCAAAACTCAATCGTTCAAACACTATATATGGTGCTACCACCGGCAAGTATCCTCCACCCCAGACTTTTCAGCCTGTGGCTTCAGATAGTCCCAGATCCAATGACAGGTGCCCAAGCCTGGAGACTTGGAGTTCGGACACCCCTGAGTCTCACTAGCCCTTAACCAAAGGCCACAGGAGCAAGGTAGGGAGGAGTCCCCCATTTCCATAAAGGAGGTGCGATGCTGAGATTGTCCCATTGGAAGCTGCCCGGTGGGAAGGGAGTTACAAGACTCTCGTAGGTCGCCCTGTCCACAGTGCACTGGACAGGGGCGCACCCTCCGCTACACAATGCCATTCAAATCCATCTCGGTTCCAGTAACAGATTGATTTTGTTAGAAAATGTTAATGTTTACAGTTATAAAGTTCAAAGCATAAAGAAATAGAAAGGACCTGAACGAGGGGCTACATAGTAGAGGATAGAGGTAGGGAGGGGAGCGCAACTAAGTTACATATAAAACATGCAGCCAATTAAGCCTGGGTTGGGGGGTGGGGGTGTGGTGTGGTGTGGTGGGGAAGGGGGGACCGCAATGCTTTACAGAGTCAGGAGTATGCTGTAGCTCCTGCACGATGATGCCGCATTTGGGTTTGGAGGTGGTTTACAGAGAGTGCACGCTCAGCCACGGGTAGCAGGATGTGGGATACAATTGTGGGGGTTGGGAAGGGTCCAGGGTAGGTGAGGATGTTCAGAGAACTACCGTGATCTTCACCCACAGATACACCACATTGCTCCACACGTGTTTCCTCCCAAACCAACCGCAGTGTGGTTGTAGTCACATGGCAATGCATGCACTAACTAGCCCTGTCATTCGGCAGTGAGAGAAAGCCTATCTGCAACTCCCCACAAACATATTCAGCAGTTGAAACATATTTGAGGGAACTGCTGTCAGGCATGGTACATTTTCAGTGAAGACACAACTTATGTTACCCATAGATGCCTCCAAATAGGCTATTGGCTCAATTCTTTTGCAGTAGAAAGGTCAAAACTGAAGACTAAAGCCATATGTTATCACAGTGGGAGACTTTAGCGTTGTCAAGTGGCTTAGGGAGGCCCGGAGCACAACTCACCTGTTGACATTGCCAAATAGCTTTCAGCAAACACAACACCCCACCTCAGCGTGTGAAAAGAGATTGTTTCCCCCCATTCAAGATATTATTTGCCAACTGAATTCCAGTGTCGGAGAGAGTTGGCAATTGCAGACACTCTCTACTGCATCTAATGAAAGTACAACGGAGCAAAGTCCAGGGTGATCTAATACCAGATGTCAACTCCTGTAAAATCCTAAGGAGAACTAAAGAAGCTTCTGAAAATGGACTGTGTATTTAACACAGTTTACTGTAAAATTTAGATAGTTATCAGCCTTTTGCATATGCATTAGTTGATCACATATTAATAAGCTGAAAAGGTTACCTGGGCTGTATGAATTAACTAAATGGCTACCTAGACCACCCTATGAATATATTAAGCCAATGAAAGGATAATAACAGTCAATAATTAAACCCAGATAGGCCCTAACATAAAGTCTTGCATTTCTTGTAAGACTGAAAGGAGAGACACTCTCTGAATTAGAAAAATGGCACATTCAGCTGCCATCTTTAAACTGCAATGATACTCCTGTCTTAGCACCCTCCTATTTTAGCTCGTTCTCATCCTTCAGGCAATGAAACAGCAGCAAGAAGAAAACCCACCATGAGCAATAGCCTGAATACAGCTTCAAGGAAAAGTAGCTCTCCAGGATAGCACCGCTTCTGCAAAATAGTATCACCTAAATTTCAACATCAAAGCCAAGAAAAGGTTGGCCAAAGCATTACCCAAAAATGAGAATATGCAGATTCTAAGATGTTGAAAGTGCAAAGCAGTTTCTCCTGCTAAACCCCAACATGGTCTTACCTATTTGTTCTTGGATAGATGTACATCAATCTTGTTAAACAGGAGAAATTAAAAAAAAAAAGCAGAGAAAGATTTAAATATAAAACGATAGCATCAACTAACCTTCCTATCACTGGCTACTGATAAAAGAAGTCACATATATGAAGATATCATTAGTCATGGAAATATTTGTTCAACTTAAGTATTAATTAACTATTAGCCAGTCTCAGTCAGATTCCTGAATTTAAAATACATTCTTTAATATTCATTAGTTTTAGGACTTTGTTATAATTGCTCACCATAGGCTTACTCATGATAAATGAAAAAGGACTCTTCTATACTTATATGAACTTCCTTTTTTTGTCTCTAAATTCTTTTTGTTATAGATGGTACACTAAAGAGGGCTCACTCCTCATTTAAAAATAACAGATTTTGTTATTAACTTATCTCAGGGAAGTCAAGTGGCCAGTTCTCCAAAATAGAAACTCTATTAAGTTTTGTATTTTGTTTCTAATTCCTTTTAAAAATACTTCTAGTTAACAATTTGGTTGGGTTCTCTGCCATGCCAAAGAGGCAACATGGGACAGATGACTGAAAGGACAGTTAAGATTTACCCTGCTGTTTCTTGTTTCTCTGGAATATACATTTTAGTAATTAAAAAATAATGACTTGATGTTCAATGCCTTAACTCTAATTTCTAATTGAGAGAGTGCAGAGAAAAAAAATAAGTTAGAATGAACATGAAGGTCATTCAGGGACTGAAAACTCTAAGAAAAGGGTGGACATTTATGCCGTTCTTGGGTGACATTGATGGAGCTGTCAAGGCTTGCCGCATATGCCAGAAATAGAGACCAAGTCATCAGAACAACCCCTGTTGCTGACACAGGAAAAAATCCCTCCTTGGAGCAAAGTAGGCATAGATTTCTTTGCAATGATTAGAAAAAAAGTTATGTACGTCTTGACTATTATTCTCAGTTCCCTGAAATTGGTTTACTAGAAGATACTCCAACTAATTGGGGTGATTGTGAAAGTCATATCTATTTTTCCTAGACATAGCGTACCTGACATAGTAATGTCTGACAGCCGGCTAGTGTAGAGGGCATGAGTTCAAGAGGGCATGAGTTCAAGATGCTTTAAGTGACGTTTGATTTCAGACTTGCAAAAAAGCGGTAGAAAATAAAGTGCATACTCCAGAAATCCAGGGAGGGCAGACTCTGACTCTGCATTCAGCCCCGTAAACAGACACATGGTTGTCACGCCAGATGAAGACAGGTGAGCCATGGGACATAGCACTGCCATAATAAATGGACTTGCCACCTTCTGCACAGAGCTGTCTTGAGGAGGCTTACAAGTTCAAGTGACCATCCAAGCCACTTCACAGATTATTTGAATATTCTTGGTTATTTTAGGCTGCTGGTTATAAGTGTTTCAGTTCTGCATTCTGCAAATGCTGACTGTTCGCTGGCACCGCTGCTAGCCATAGCTGGGAAAGGAGATGTGGTAACCACACTTCTAAAGAGCTATATACATTACTCAGGCAGGCATAGCCCAGACACTGAAAGCGGGTATCTGTCAAGCAACCTGGCGGTATTTACCTGGCAGGGGAGGTATCATAGTATTAGTCCAGGGCGTTTCCTGCTGTGATCCCCTTCTTCCTGACCTCTAAATGACTATGTGTAGTAGAGGGTGGAGACCTCTGTCCTTGCACTGCAGGCAGGCCCCCCTAGGAGAGAGCTCAGCTTCACACCGATTTTATGGAGATGGGGGATTTTCCCCTAACTTGCTCTTTCAGACTGTTGGTTAAGGGCAAATGACATGCAGCATCCAAACCCCAAGACCTCCAAACTTGGTCCTGCACGTAGGCTGCCTGCCACAGCTTTGGAAGTATCTGAAGCTTCAGGCTGAAAGGTGTGGGAAAGAGGAGACTTGCCGGTGGTAGTGCCACATGGATTTGAACAATTGAGGTCAGCTCAGTCGATAGGATTTGGAACCGATTTGGCTAATTTATCCTGGAATACAACATTCAAACAAAAAGTACCACTACCATGGACAGGAGTCCCCTGTGGTTCAGTGGTAGAATCCTTGTCTACCAGACAGGAGACCTGGGTTAATTCCCAGACACTTATACAACTACAGCCAAACATCTGGACTCAGTCTGGTCTTCGGACTCTGTCTCAGTGGCCTAAAGGGAGGATGGAAAGTCTGTGCCGCCTCCGCTCCTCCAAAACATTCCTGCCCAGGCATGTGCATCGAAGGTCTGCGTGACCCTCATGCATACACCACGATCCAGGAGGATCAGTGGTTGCCACCACCATGGACAGGCTGTCCAGAGGTAACATTTGCTTCCCTAGCACCTCAGGTTTGGATGCAATAAAGCCAGTGGTCAAGAACAAAGCCAGTGGCTGGAGAAGGTGAAGGGAGACCCCAGCCTTTACCGTGGCTCAGGGGAGACTGGAGGGGAGCCCAGGGCCAGGTTGGGTGCAAGGAGCCAGGCTCGTGCCTCGCGCCGGTGGGCGAGCAAGGACCGGGGCCGCCGCACGTCCTCCCCGGGGACAGCGCGGGCTGGCGTGCAAGGACCGAGGCCGGGCGGGGCGGCGGCGGTGCGGGGGCAGGTGCAGGGGCAGGGGCAGGGGCAGGGTTGTGGT